ACCTTCTTCTGAGTTTGACTTATTTCACTTAACATAATGTTCTCAAGTTCTATCCATTTTCCCGCAAATGATATAATTTAATTCTTATCTATGGCTGAATGAAACTATTGTGTGTGTGTGTGTGTGTGTGTGTGTGTGTGTATGCATACATACCATATTTTCTTTATCCATTCACCTATTGATGGACATCTAGGCTGGTTCCATAGTTTGACTGTTGTGAATTGTGTGCTATAAACATGAGTATGTATGTATTGCTATAGTATCTGGAACATGAGCTTTTGAGTAACACTTCAAATCATAGCAACTTTCCTGATTGTATCTTTATAGAATGATTAGCCCATATGGGGAACAAGGGTTACTTAATGGGAGTTCCCATTCATTTCCTACCTATCATAGCTATTCTAGTACCTCTTTCCTCTACCAATTCAGATGTGAAACTCAACTTCTTTTCTTTGATTTCCCCAGAACCACTCACACAGAGCACTTGTGTTTGTGCTGAGCTTTACAGAATCAGTTTGATGATTTTGGAGAGATACTATTTGCAACTTGGAGTATTTGTTATTTTTTAAAGCTATTTGGTTATCTTTCTTTTTCCTTTTTCTTTTTGGTACTGGGGATTGAACCCAGCAGTGCTCCACCACTGAGTTTTATTCCCAGAATCTTTTATTTTTCATTTTGACATAGGATGCTTGCTAAGTTGCTTAGGGCCTCACTAAGTTGCTGAGGCTGGCTTTGAACTCACAATCCTCCTGTCTCAGCCTCCCAAATTACTGGGATTACAGGTGTGCACCTCTGTGCCCAGCTGGTTATCTTGCTGATGGAAGTTTTCCCTGGTGATTTTTCTCTTTTGTTGCCCAGTTTCCTTTCTTTTAGTTTTCCTTTCTGTTCTAACTGCTAAGCTTACCTGCACCCCCAAATTCCCATTGGCTTCTTTGGCAAAACTGTTTCACAGTGTCTTTGATTAATTGTTTCTTTATTCTACCATTTTCAAGCCCTATACAAGAGAGAGGGGAAATGTGCTGTCAGGAACTGCCACATTGGGACCGAGCACCCCTTAGCTTTGAGCGACCAGAGTGTAGAGATGTGGCAAGTTAGACATGGGCTCTGTGTGTGTGAACTATGAGCACTGAGCACACAGGGTGGACTGAACCAATGTTGCCCCTGTGTTTGGGCTGGCGACATATGAGTCTTTTCGATTGCTCTGCCTATGATCCCTACACAGCATATGAGATGGATGTGGCCTTCCTAGATGTCACTCAACCTGCTGACAGCAAGACATCAGGAAGCTAGACTCAACCCCCTGAAACTTGACCCCTTTCCTTATTAGAATGGCTTCTCCCCAATAAAAGGGTTCAGCACATGCTCTTCACTCTCTTTCTTGCCTGCCTTGCCCACCTTGTGGGAGCTGTGGCTGAGGAGCTATCAGGGAACCCAAAGAAAAGGTACTTTCTGTGTCTGTGTCTTTATTTTGTCCCCAAATTCACTTGGAGTGACCCTGACCGGTTTAGTCATGTGACACAAAAATGAGCTACCTGATTTTGAGCATTCTGGTCTCTTTTATTAGCATACTAATTATCAAGTATAATATAAGAACCATATGATCATCTCAATAGATTCAGAAAAAGCATTCAATAAAATACAGCACCCCTTCATGTTCAAGTATATGGATCCCTCCCTTCCTCCATGCTTTAACTTCCTCACAGATTCTTTAATTCCTAGTGAGTGCCTGCTAAGTGACAGCTATGGTTCTAGACCGGGGAATGCAAGACTGACAAGTCCTGCCCTATTGAGATTGTATTCTAGTGAGAAAGATGGTAGTAAAACTAATAAATAAGCCTACAGTATACTGTAAGGTAATAAGTATTATAAAGAAAAATAAAGCAGGAATAGAGATTCATAGGGGTTCTGTTTTAGGTAGAATGATCTGGCAAGGTCTCTCAGTGTGATATTCAAGAAGAAATTTAAATGAAGTGAGAAGAATGCAAATATATAGTGGAAGAGAGTGCCAGTCCTAAGGAATAGTAAGTGCAAAGGCCCTGTCACATCTTGTGTTTTCTGTAAAGCAGTTATTGAGACCATCAGAAAGGCAAATTTTGGGGGCAGTAAACTCAGTTAGAAGAAAAGGAAGAAAATCCAATTGGAGGGAGGAGCTGCCAGACTGCATGTCGACCTGTTGAAGTCTGTGCCAGCCTTGTGGGGGGTTCCATAGCTGACAGCCTGAGGCCCACTACAGCACCTCTGCAGTGAGTGGAGGAAATGACTAGGCCTTATTTTCCACTCTGCTCAGTCATTTGACCATGGACTTCCCTGGTCAAATGGCATATGCTGTTAGCTGAAATAGGCTGAAGTGAACTCTGACTAAGCTGATACTGGAAGTTGTAAGTTAAACATGCTTTCTGTATGTGGACAGTAAATCCTTTCTTGAAGAGCAATCTGCCCAAGTCCCTAAAACATGATCAAAGGACTGCAAGAAGGCTGGAGAAGAGTGAGAAAGAGAGTGATAGGGAAGGAGATTGGAGAGGCAACCAGGGGCCAGAATAAGCAGGATATTTTAGGCTGTGGAAAGATGTTGGATTTTTTTTTTTTTATTCTGGGGACCGAACCTGGGGAACTCTACCACTGAGCTACATCCTTAGTCATTTTTTTTCTGAGATAATATCTCACTAAGATGCCTAGGATGACCTTGAACTTGTGATCTTTTTGCTTCAGCCTCCTTAGTTGGGATGACAGGTGTGCACCACTGTGCCTGGCTATGCCTTGCATTTTAAAAGGATAACTGGCTGCTACAACAGGCTGCTTCTGCCATAAGCCATGATTTCATTTTATTTATTGCTGTCTCACAAATCATCCCAAGACAGTAGCTTAAAACAATACTGGTTTATTTTTTCTCAAAGTCCTGTGGGTTGACTGGACAGTCTTCAGCTGGATTTACCTGAGCTCACTGATGTGGCTGCAGATAGGAGGTGTTTGAGGTGGGCCTGGGTGTTTTATACATGGCTTTACTTATATGTCTGGGGCCTCAGCTGGGGCTGCTGCAATGACTGAGATGGCCAGGTCACTTTCCATGGGCTCTGTCATCTTGTGCTTTTTCACACGAAGCCAGAAACATTCTGAAACATCAAGCCTTAGGAAGCAAGCACTTATCCAAGCCTCGGCCAGTGTCAAGTCTCTTGATGTCCCATTGCTGAAAACAAGGCAAATGTCCAAGCCCAGAGTCAACATGGGAGAATATGCAAGGTTATGCATATCTAGAATTGTGATTCATGGGTACTGTAGCTGTAGTAATCTAGTATGCTAAACATTCTTTTGGCTCTTTTTCATTTTCTGATCCTCTGTTCATCAATTTTCCTTCTGATTATAATTTGATTTTCCACATAATAGTGCTTACAAGAAAATAATGCATCAATCACATGGACTTAAAATATTTTCTATTGCTTTGACAGTAATTTCTTATTGTGTTTGCTTATTTCAAGGAGTAAACATTCAGTGTATGGAGTTCTAGTGTTCATTACTGTAGTAATGTGGTCTTTGGACCCCTACCTAAGAATTATTGTATTCCTTGTGGTTCATCTCAAGCCTATGAGAAAATGTATGAATTCTAACCTTCATTCTTAATCTGCTTGTGATAGAGTTACTTTGAGAATTAAAAAAAAAAACATGTTGAATCAAGTAACTCTCAATCATTGTTGATGGGAATGAAAAATAGTACAGCCACTTTGGAAGACAGTTTGGCAGTTTCTTACAAACTAAACATACTCTTACCATACGGTCCAGCAATCACGCTCCTTGGTATTTACCCAAATGAATTGGAAACTTATGTCCACACAAAAACATGCACACAATGTTTATAGCAGCTTTATTCATAATTGCCCAAATTTGGAAGCAACCAAGATGTTCTTTAGTAGGTGAATGAAGAAGCTGTGGTACATACAAACAATGGAATATTATTTAATACTTAAAGGAAATGAGCTATGGAAACTTGAAAAGATTTGGGGAAACTTAAGTGCATATTACTAAGAGAAAGAAGCCAGAAATGCTATATTTATACTACATTTTGATAAAGGCAAAGAAGTTAGTGAAGTGGGAGATGAATAAGTGGAGTGGAGCACAAGGATTTTTAGGGCAGTGGATAATATAATAGTGATAATATAATAGTGATTACATATCATTATGCTTTTGTTAAAACTCATAAAATGGGCAATATCAGGAATGAGCCCAAATGTAAACTATGGACTTCAGGTGAAAATGATGTATCAATGCAGATTTATTGATTATAATAAATATACTACTCTAGTGTAGGATTTTGAAAGTGGAATGTTATGCATATGTAGGAAGAGTTCCTCTGGAACATTTTTGTACCTTTCACTCAAGTTTGCTGTTTGCCAAAACAGTTCTAAAAAATAAAGTCAATTAAAAATAACTGAAGTGATAGTTCCCAATTTTTCACCTGAAGGGCTTGACCTCAATCATTATGAGGTCATAATGACTAAACTATGTAAGTCATTTGGCTAAAATTTGATTTTGTGATTTAATGTTGATTTTGAACATGTTTGTTTGATGTGTTATTAATGTACATATCAATTTAGCTGATGAGTGAAGAGAAAAAGGGAAGTATGCATTCGATTGTAAACTGTTTAATATACTTTTAAGATTCATTATTTCCTCCCTGTCTTGAGAGAACAAATATTTGGAGATCTTTGTTGTTGCTTTTACTATCCTATATATTACATGTCACTATTTTAGTTTTTATTTTTCATTAGAAAAAAATATTTCAGTGTTGCTGTGGATGCTATTAATTGGGAATATTTTATTATTAGAGGCTTTAGTGGACATTCACTGGGATCAGGGTGAGGTTTTTGTGTTAAGAAGAATCATTGTGAAGAAAAATTATTGTTTTTGATAACAATAGAGACTACATTAAGCTCAATGTGGAGAAATCTGCTTTGTTCTTTCTGAAAAGTATTAATTAATATTCTTAGAATGTTTTTGTTTTGTTCCAGATATTGACAACGTGAAGCCATTGGCGGGTGTAAAAATTCTAGATCTAACAAGGTTTGTATTGTTTATTTTCATTTTAGTGATTAGTTTTTCCCTTCTCTCAACAATTTTTAATTATTTTTTTCGATCATAGGGGGATACTTATTGCTTATGTTCAAATTTTGGAGGAGAAAAGAAAAGAAAAATTCCTGGACTCGCACTATTCTAAGAGACAATTAGTGTAATATTTGTGCATTTTTGTCAATCTACACATTTATATATAATTTTAAAAATAATTGGAACTATATTGGAATTACAGTTTTATTGGCATTTAAAGCATACAACAGTATGTTTTTTTAGTTTTATTTGAATTTTTGGAAATACTTTTTTAACTTTTTTGTTCCCTAAACAAACAAACAAAAAAGCATAATTATTCTTAGTCTTATACCTCTATCAGTTGAAATATGAGATATTTAAGTGCTTATGAAATACATTAAGAAAATACCTGACTTGGGCCTTAAGGACTTCATGAGATTACTGTATGGGAATAGCTAAATATACAGTTTCCTTTTGAATATTTTTCTGTTATTAAAAATTAAACAGGGCTAGGATTGTGGCTCAGCAGTAGAGTGCTCGCCTAGCACATGTGAGGCCTTGGGTTCCATCCTCAGCACCACATAAAAATAAATAAAATAAAGATATTGTGTCCAACTACAAGTAAAAAATAAATATTAAAAAAAATTAAACAAAAAATGTAAGATGATATTGTATTATATAGATTTTAGTTTTAGTTTTTAATTACTTAATAATCCCCCAGTATTTCACATTTATAAATTAGGCTTCCTTGGATACAAATATTTGCCTCAGTTTCAATTTCTTCTTCAGGATAGAATTCTAGAAATAGAATTACTAGATCAAAGGGGATATACTTTTTTAAAGCTCTTGATACATATGGCCAAATAACAGTTTCTACAATTTTGTTTCTTGCTAGTATTATATAAGCTTATCTGTGTTGATGGACTATTAAGAAAATAATTAATAAAAAATTTCAAGTTGGTCTTTTTTTTATTCTTGTTAACATTGTAGAGTGCTGGCAGGACCTTTTGCTACTATGAATTTAGGAGATCTTGGAGCAGAAGTTATAAAAGTGGAAAGACCAGGTAAAGCTATTGCTTGTTTTTAAAAAATAGAATCAGGCTAATAAATATTTTTAGTAATTCCTTAAGTTTCCATGTTTGGATATCCTATAAATGGGATGAGGAGATAATTTAAATGATTATTTTCTTTTTTCCACTTCTGTGTTCCTCTGAACCTGTGCTTGTGATCCCTTTTTTACTCTATAAAGGTGCCAAGGACTAAGACTGAAGTTAGTTCCTTCTCACATACCTGAAACATTCTGTTAAAACATATAACAATGATGATAAAAACAATTATAGAGCCAGGCTAAGTTCTAAACCCATTGCCGGGCTGGGGTTATAGTTCAGTGGTAGAGTGCTTGCCTACCACTTGTGAGGTACCAGGTTTGATACTCAGCACCACATTAAAATAAAGATATTTTGTCTATCTATTAAAAAAAGAATAAACCCTGTTGACTTTAATTTAATCTTTACAATAACCATATAGGCTGATATTATTCCTTGTTTATAAATGAGAAAATAGAAGCATAAGACACAGAGGTAAAGCAATATGTTCAAGCTTACATAGTTAGTAAAGAGTATCTAGGTTCTCAGCTCAGATTCTGTTTTTTCTAGGCTCCATACAAGCTGCACCATTGAGATTGAGATTAGAGTGAGTGTGACCACATTCCCTGAGCATGGGATGAAGGGATGGCAAAGACAAGGGCATGATAAAAGGGAAGAAATAAGATACAGAAGGAGGAGAGAAGGAAAAGGAATCAAAGCCCATCAAAAGCAACCCTAATACCCTAACCTGTCATTCTATTCTATTTTTAAAAAAATAAAAAAAACTTTACCACTTTAGAGTTTAGAGGTTTTGAGGCGGGGCTGGGGCTGTAGTTCAGTGGTAGAATGCTTGCCTAGAATGCTTGCGGTACTGGGTTCAACCCTCAGCACCACATAAAAATAAACGAATAATTAAAGGCATTCTGTCCATCTACAACTACAGAAAAATAAAAAAATAAATAAATCAAGGGCTTGAGAGGACAACATATCAGCTTATATTAATTTTTTAATCTCACATCTTTCTAGTTTTTTTTCCTTCTTTTCCCATCAAATACATGTCTTCTGTATATGCAATTTTGCAATTTTCACTTTTATTTGGTGCTTTAAACATTATGGTGATTAGTTCATGCAATTATTGATAAAGTTGCTTTGAAAAGTATCTTTGTTGTGTGCCATTTTTTTTCCACAAGCACTTAAGTGGCACAGATACTTTCTTCATGTCATTATTCTGTAGACAGCTTATCTTGGAGTTATCAAAAATTAGTATTACTATTTATGTTCTAAGATTTAGTCCTTATGGATTTGGAACAGAATTCTCAAATTAATGAGAATGGTCTAGTGCTGATTAGTGTGCATCTATCCATAAGGCTCATAGGGATGAATTTATAATTATATCAACATTAATTTACCATCTGTGATAAACCATATTTTAAAGTAGAATATTTGACCTGGAAGATTCCATTTCCTGCTAATCAGATCTTCCTATGAGGCTAAAGCAGTTAGCAGAAGACTCTCTGATCAGCATAGGAGTATTATATATTATTGTATTTTATCTTGTTATATTCATCTGAGCCCGTGTTTATCAGTCTCAGATAATAGAAGTGCCTGGAGGGTCCTGCTTTCCTGAGACATTTGCTTCATATATCCAGTCAACAAAGTTTATCACTTTCTGTCATTACTGGATACATACTGAAGAATATTTATTTTTTTAGCTGAACACTCCCCACTCCAGTTGTTAAAAGCTTCTAATTTATATATTTTGATTTGATTTCAACATCAGAGCACCTCCTGATTTCAACTATTGGTTTTCTTGTGTCTTCCTTTCTTGTATGGAGCATCCCATCTAATTTTTCTTTCTATTTCAGTTGGTCAACAGTTTAGTAATTGTACTTACATTACTTTTATAAATTATTATTCCTTATTTACTTATCCCTGTTTCTCCTTTGTACTTTAGGTTCCGCTATGAGAACTTTCTTTGTCAAGGCCTTTATTACCTCTCAAACACCTAGTAGGTGTTTACTGCTCCTTTTTTGGCTGATAAACCCTCTTGCCCAATACATTTTAATGTTCATAATATATATTCAATTGTTCTGGGTTTTTGAGATACTTAACGTGGATATGAGGAAAAATGACTAGTAGCAGTTTCATTGAATGCAACTTGATAGTATTTCTAAATTCCAGTAGACTTTCTTTTTATGTCTACTTTTCCATTTCTTCAATTAAATAAAATTTGATTGCAGTTTCTGACTTAGGACTTATTCTTACTTATGTGATCGTAAGAGCATATCAAACTTAATTATAGTTTTTATCTTTTCTTTTAGAGTTAGCAAGTCCATATGTGTAATCTATAATGCCTGCAGGACCTGGCAGGATATGTAAATGAGTGAAACGGGCTGGAGGGGCAGTAAATGAGGCCACTAAAACTCCAGATTGTACCTATAAGCAGGGATATGAGATCAGGAATTTTGGTCTTTTGTTCACTGCCATTTTTGCCCTGGATAGAGCAGTATCTTCACTTAGCTGGTGCTCAATAAGTGTTGAATCAATGAATGGATTGAAAAACCATTTAAGAAAGGTTAAGTTTTTACATGAGATTTCCAGATTTTGAAATCTTAGCAGATTGTTAAAAACTTAGAAACTCTGTGGGTCGAATAAAACATGTTTTCAAGCTTTCTGGTTTCATAGTTTGTGATCTTTTATCTTATGTTTCGGGTCAAATAACACTAATCTTTCTGCCTTTCTAAAATCATGGCTATATTCTAAGGACAAGAGAAGAGACAAGCTTTCTTAGGCCTCCAGTGTAACTTCTGACCTACTTCTACCTGATAGATGCATGCAAATATTTAAACTAAATGAATCTCAACTTTATATTGGCATTGTTGCTTCTCCTCTTCCTTCTATTTTAAAATATTGTGAGTTAATAAAAAAGAGAGTTGCTGGTGATTCTGAGAGGTCCTATCATATACCAAATATCTGGGCTTTACATACCTTTCTCACAAAGTCACTGATGGGCTTATTATTGGGTAGTTCTCTTTGTGGACCCTTGTAGTTCATTCTCCCCAACTCCCTCCTTCCTGTCAATTTTTGAGTATGTCCTTCCATTGGTATTTAGTATTTATTGCTTTGTGTAATTATTGGTTTATTTCCTGTTAGAACTAATACTTCTTTTCTATTCTTACTTGTGCACTCTATTTCTCTTGTGGGTTTTTAAAAAATAAATAGATTTATTTTTTATTCTCTTTTTCCCTTCAAAAAGATTATGCCTTGATCCATCTCAATAAAGTTTAATGGTTAATAGATTATATCATTTAAATGACTAGAATTTAAAACTTTATCCAAGTTCATAAATTCTTTACTTTTTAGAGGGCTAGTAATAAAAGTTAATTGTTATTGCCTATATAGGTAATTATAATGGTTAATATGTCACACTAATACTTATTCAGAACTTATAAAAATCTCTCATGATGTTTTGAAGCTAAGAATTAACAGCTCATGTTGTTATTTTTAGGAGCTGGTGATGATACAAGAACTTGGGGGCCACCTTTTGTGGGTACAGAAAGTACATATTTTCTCAGTGTTAACCGAAATAAAAAAGTAAGGATATCATAATTTCCTTTTTTTTTTGCATTATTTATGTAGTTTTTATATTATCACAAAGCTTTGGATAGCATTATGGCTTTTTTTGTAGATATAATTAATATTTCAAACAACATGAAATTTTCTTTATTCATCAGTTATCAAATAGAAGCAGGGATTTTAAAATTAATCTTTCTCTATTAACTTAAAACATTTCATGAGAATTTATAGTGGAAATCATTTTATGAAAGAGAGAAATCATTTGATTCTTTACATTGTTTTAGAGAATGCTAACTCTCTAATACTCATATTACTATTGAAAACCATTTATTATAATCCTTGACATCATTCTGATAGCGAATATAATTAGTAAAAATGATTTAAATAATTCTTCATTAGGGATATAATTTTGCTTTAAGAGGAGAATCTACGATGTGAATGACTCTCTTGTTGGACTGTCAATAATAAAATAAAGCCTTTATGATAATATTTTAAATATATATATATATTTATTTTTAGAGCATAGCTGTTAATATCAAGGATCCAAAAGGGGTGAAAATCATCAAAGAGGTACAGTATACTCTATGGAAGGCATTTTGCCTACCACTTGTTGTAATTTGTGATTTAAATATCAGAGCAAAAGTGTTTTAAAACTATATTGTATGACAATTTGTTATTTTCCTATAAACTACATCTAAGAAGTTAAGTTGGCTTTTTTAGTAAATATAATGTGCCCTTGTATATCGTGTATAATTATAGTCCTAGCTACTATCTACCGGGTGTTTTTTTGCATCAGATTCTGAACTTGGGCACTTATATTATCTCCGATAAACCTCAATTTGCTTTGTAAATGAAGCATTAGATCCCCATTTTCATAGAATGGCATTGAGTCTCATAGGGTCTAAGTGGTGCTCCAAAGTAAGTGGTGCTCCAAAGATTACATAGCTAATTCTAAATTAAATTATATTTGGCTTAAAGTTGCCTCAGTATATTGAAAACTTAAAATCTAATTTAGTATGTAGACCAACCAAAAACTAATTAAAGAGTATGTTCTTATAACAAATAATGAAATCTCAGCCAATTTCAGTTGCAAACTTCAGCAAATCACAAGCTTCCAATTGATCAGACCATGTCCATATGAAGCAAATGTCGGACTACAACCAATCACGTTATTTTGGAATGTCAGTTCATTTTTTTATTTCTAAATACTGCCTGCCCACTTGCTGGGCAGTGGGTGGAGAACTCTGAATCTCTCCTGATTCTGAGAGCTGCTTAAATAATAAATCATATTATTCTCAAATAAATTTTTCTAAATTTAATTTATTTAACAATTTTTCTTTTAACATTAGTAAGGGAAAAAACTGACATTTGAACTCAAGTAATATCATTGGAAAACCTAAGCTTTTTATAGAATTTATTCAGATAGCCATTATGTCCAGACCTGACTCATCATCTTTCATAGAGGGGAAGGATGAAATAACAGTTAAAAGTACTATCTTTAAGTGAGTTTCTAATGCTGTCTTGCTAGCTATATGAGTTCAGGAAGGTTATTTAACCTCTTTGTGCCTCAATTTCCTCATCAATTAACTGGGAATAATATTTTTTTAAATGTTTGCTTTTTTTGAGAGAGAGAGAGAGAGAGAGAGAGAGAGAGAG